CCTTCACAGTCACCAGCAGAGGTCTGAATGTGTTGCCAGCAGCATCCTTCGAGCGTAGCCTCTTGCAAGATATAACATCAATCGATGTGTTGAGTACCTTGCTGCAACAGTCTACAACAAAGGCCGTGTCATCCATCACTCGGTCCTTCGCATCAGATGCGTTACTTTCAGGATTCCCAAACCAGACATGTTCTCTATCATTCCTACGTTCTCTATCAAGTAATTCACGTGAGCTTTCACTAGCGACTTCAGATAAATCAGCTGTCTTGTTTTTTAATTCCATTTCTTTCGTATTTTTCAACTGAGCCTTCACTTCATTCATCTCATAGCATAGCGAGCTCAGTTTGTCACTCAGCGAGCGCACCATCTCACTCAAGGAGTTTACTACATCATTCAACAATTTCGACTCATTGCCGCGCTCTTCCACTGACTCCTCTCTTTTTCGAGCACCAAGAGTTGATTTTTCGCAATCACGGCCAATCAATGAAGCAATTTAGATTTCAGGAGAAATCAGTACTCCTTAGAGCTCAACTTCAAACAGCTGATACAAATGAGGTCTTCGCATCGTTCACAGGTGACCGTCTGGACTTCGCTCAGAGAGATCACTTTACAGTACTTGCTAACTTTCGTCTCCAGCTCGGCTGATTTGGTTTCATTTTTTTTCTAGAGGCCGTAGAGGGCTTTTCTACTATTTTTTTTTATTTTCTGTCCAGCCATTATAAAATGCTCGAACTAGATCTCTTGAACGGAGAAAGATCTCTTGTCAGTGAACACGCGGACAATTATTTAGTTAGACATGATTTTTTCTCATACCATGAGTGCCTTTTGACATTTCACTTAAATAACTATATAATGAGGCGTTCTAGAAGCCAGCGGTTCTACTAATAACCGGTCTAATGTTTTTTCTGCAGCACAATCCTCGCAGCTTACAGAGAGCCTGCGAGGAGAAATGTTCAGGCTCTTAGCTATCTGTTGTAGCTGAGCATCAGACACTTGGCTCTCGTGGTGTCGCAAGTGGGCTCATCCCTTCAGGTCACTGCGTCACTGTCTGCATGGCGTTTGGTGACACTCTCTAGCTAGAGCCTCCGTCAATATGGCCTAATCTACAGCGTTTGGCATGAGTCAAGCCTGTCAACTGTGAGGTTTCTCGTTACCTGCGACTTCATTCAGTGGCAACTGCCGGAAGCTAGTCCCTGCGCCTCGACTATACCATAAACGCAGTGACTTCATGTGTATCATTAGCGACTTCTGTGTCAACTGTCAGATTTCAAAGGCAATTCTTGCCCTCTGCAGCAGACAGTGACTTTCGTAACATAATTTCACAATGTCAAGTTAATGAGTATTTTAGCGGAACCCACGATAACTGCTGCGCGAAGTTAAGGCTGATTACCATATAAGGTGATGGTAGGTAATACGTATTGCAGTGTTAGCATTATTGCAAAATAGTTTTATTCTGTGTCCTTGTTTACCTACATTCACTGATGATAAAACTGAATTTTGTCCCTGTTCATCGTTTTAATCTACCATTTCACTTTGGTTGATTCGCCGTTCTGTCGAATGACGAAAATACGAATTTTTATGAGGACGAAGGATGTCTTATCAAATCCTAAGATCTAATGAGTAGATTGACAACAAAGACATGTAAATATTCAAAAATTAAACGTTCTCATGAATGCTTTTTATTGCTCCGTCTGCGGAAATTCCATAAAACTTCCGTGACACAAATCTATAGTCAGAAGTTGACTAACAAACTGGCAGAGAATTAGTGGGAACGCAAGGAAAGACACGTCGTCCTCCGTTGCATGGTGCGGTTTTGAGTCGATTGTTTGCATTTCGATCCACGTACGCGCATTCGCCGTCTACAGGAGGTGTTGCCCATTCACCCGCAGTCACAGGCGTGTTGCTAGGAACGTGGACCCAAGTCCCGCTGATTTTTCGAACGTTCACCCAAAATTGCAACACGGCTGAGAGATAAAAAGTTATACTTCAATTTTCTCCCCAACAATGCACTTCTTATGTATTAATCAAACAATTTATCAATTCCTATCGTGCATTATGATTTCATTGCTCAAACGGACATTCAGGCAAAATTTTAAATCTAATTCAGACAATTTTCCGCCAAGACACCTCTGCCTAAAATTAGAAGACCTTGTTAATCGGCTATTCATAGTCAATTTGATTTTTGCGAGCCAAGTTTAATTATACTATACTACTTAGTTTTTACTGCATTATTTCGATCGATCAGATAAACCAGTTTGCATTGTTTCAAATATTTATGAGGGGTAAATTGTTCAAAAATAACTTCTGATCGAAAGTTAAAAGTCAAGAAAATGCAAAGAAAATTCACCTCATTTTCATCATAAACGTTTTGGCCACCTGCTCAAAATTTGTAATAAAAATACAAATTTTCAATCAGTTCAAAATTTGTAATAAAATTAAAATCAGTAAATTTGCAAATAATCGTCCGTTTGATTATAAGTGTATCATTGAATTTTGAACAGATAATGGAACGTTTTCAATGAAAATATTATGAATTTTCAGACATTTTCTTTGCATTAAATTTATAGTTAATTTCATATTTATGGATCGAATGACAAGAATGTTTCTGACCTGGATCCCCTTGACTGATGATATCCAGTATGTCGCTGAGCTTTGCGGGCGTGTCAACCTCGGCCAGGAGCAGTCCATGGTAAGCGCAAACGGTCACCGCATCACAGAAGAACTCTTTTCTAAATACGCTGCCGCACGCAGCGCCGGTGCAACTGCCGCAAAAGTGAACGCAGGGGTTCTTGGTGTTTGTGCAACACTGTAGCGTTTCCTCCTGAAGATTTGTTAGCACAGTCCCACCTGGGAAAAATGTTTGTCAATATAAATTACCTGTAAAAGAATACAACTTGGGTTCCTAATGACCAAAAATTCTATCATGAATTTTAGGCCAATATTGGAAAAACTTCAATAAGTCAGCTTTGGAAAAGCCTTTTCTCAACAAATTTTAACACGAAAGAATTTAAGCTGAAAACAGTGGCCAAGATTTCATAGATGCTAAAATTATTTTTTACAGGAAAACGATGACCAACACGAGAATTCAATCAAGTGGCTCAAACTACCCCGTTATTTTTTCGAGAGAGAGTTCCACATTGACTGTCTGGACGTATGGTATTCAATGTTTTCACTGTTTAAACTTCTCTGCATAAAAAAAGTGATTCCAATTGAATGTTCTAACTTCGAGGCATCTAAAACAAGCAATTATAGAGGCGTCTAAAACAGGCGATTAGGACACCGCTGCTATAATAGATTATTGTAGTCAATTTTTATAAACTAGAGATTCTTTATAGTACAGATTTGTATGCTACTGATTGATGCATTATGCATCATTGGTTACGATCTCTAACATTCCCGACTCGTAAAATTTTTCAATACGGGAAAATTTCTACATTATTTTTCAAACATCGTTTTCTCACCTCCGCTCACTACGCTGCCTGCAGCACAACTTGAGGTGCAATTGCCGTCGGTTGTTATCCTCTCACCGTCCAAGAACGCGCCCAGGGAGGTGAAGCACACCGTCGTAGCTGAGATACCAGAGCATACGAGCATGTTAGGAACGCAGCCGCGCTGATATGAGGTTGTATTCTTGTACAAAATAGTCAAACTATTTGACAACAAATACATGAGAGTTTTCGTTTTATGAGTGGATATGCATTAAATAGTATTAGAACAATAATTAGTTTAGAGTTGGGTAACAGTGTGATTGCTTAATCACAATGAGCCTTTCGTTAACAAAATATTTATTGTAAATAAAGCCTAGTATTCAGAAGTGGCGCCCTGCCACACAAATTTTGTAGAGTCCAGAGACAATTTGATCAGAGTACTGGGGCCGTACTATCAAAAATAGTTGAGATTTGGTAACTCTTAACTCTTTCAGCAAATCACTGAGGAATTATTTAGTTGCTACGCATACTTTAAGTGAGGTTTAATAGTGCGGCCTGTGGCCACCTAAGCTTCTCACTATTGCTTAGAACGTAGACCGTCTCTCCAGTACACGAGGGCTTGCTTGGGTCGTAGACTCCCTTCACGGCGACACTGCAGGTGCCGCCGCTGTACTTGAACATGAGTTTGCCTGTAAATCAGGAACAAAATTAGCGTTCGTGATGCGTCATGAAGAAGTAAGAGCATTTCATCAGGCGTTTACGTGAAATTCCAAATAGTCTCACTGAAATTCGAATTATCGCATGATTTGAGTGGACTAATCGATGAAAAAAAGTTTTCAATTGTACACAATTGCGTATTTCATAAACATACTGTGAACAAAATAAGCTTCTTAATATTTTTAGAAGTCAAATGATCAATTTCAAACTAATTGATAAAGTTTGACAAAAAAACATGGAAATAATGCTGATTGTGTAATATGTGGGCAGTATTGAATTGTGGGCAGGGCGGCCCAGTGGTTAAAGTTTAGAGTACCAAGATTGGCGCAGAGAGGTGCGGGTTCGATCCCAGCTCTGTGCGCCAGTGTATGGTCAGATTCGGCGAGGAGGCCGGGCGGTTATAAGCAAAAAAGAATTGAAGCAGTGAGTTTCGCGTTCGAGACCTCAACAAGCTGTGAATATTCTGCTATGTTAAGAATCGGCGACAGGCC